ATATCACAGTTATGAACGTGAAACTAGCATGAAGAAATAAAACATTTCAATTTAGGAACACGTTACAATATAAAACATGGGCTATAGAAGGTTGACCACCATAATTAGGGTCCATGGGGACTTATGTAAGGTGTGAAGATGTTGGGTTGTGGAGGTGCGGGATGTTGAGGTGTGGGGTGTGTGGGGATATTACAGTTACACTATATCAGCACAAACCTTAATGACATGTACTTCTCATAAATCCTGACAGGACATCGTTGGGGATTTTCCTTATTTTCTGCAACTACCACACACTTAGGACTTACATTTTTGTGTTTCAGACCTCCGTTGTTTGTTTTGTCACACCCTCAGAATATCGTAAATGCTTTTGACCATTCTTCATCACAATGCTGAAATTGCCTCTTTCCCCAGTTTTTTCAACGAATGATGTTCATCCCACCCCGAAGACAAAAGCATATACCATTTATGTAAAACATTGTGTCCAGAAGTTTTTGTGGTGTTTCATCGCCCAGTATCCCCTTCTGCCATAGTAAATCCCTCCTGTTCGCGAGTTATAACGTCAGCTTTTCGCTTATGAATACCGATTCCACTCTGGGCCAATGATCTCATTTTGCGTCTAACATTTTCCGTAGAGGGGCAAATTCAAAATCAGCATTGAAGTTTACATCCCTACCGTTTTCCCGGAGGAAATACTGAATTGACATGAGAGGATTTCATGAATGGTATTTCCATGGTATTCGCCTCCTTTCTGGTTTTCACTTCTGTCACAAACAATACCAATTGTTTACATAAATCCTCATCACTTAACTTCAAAGAGTCTGCCCAAAACGTAAATCTGTGCCCTTTCTTTTCCTTGTACCATGAGTCAAATATACGGACGGCCCACTGACATTTTTTTGTCAGTATTTTTATTTTAGACATATTTTGTAAATCCATACATTCCTCGTTGGTCAGGGGCTTTCCAAAACGAGGAAGAACTAGTGCAGCTGGAAAATTCTTTTCAATTTGTTGTGAAGCGCGCAAAGCTCTTCATCAGAGGAATCATTGCCTACTTTTATTTCAGATTTGTCAGAGTCATATTCAATATCAAAATCGGGCTTTGCATAGTCTGAATCTATCAGTTCTTGAAACTCAGGTATATGTCTGTTTCATCAAATGAAATCTCAGCATCTTGTGAGAATTTGGTCTGGGTAAGGAATATTTCTCCATCGGTGTCGCTCGACATACTCACTGAACGTGTAAATCTCAATGTGGTTATTTGCAACTATCATGTACGTGTATACGCCGCCTTATAAAGGTCTCCAATAGTCGCGATATGCGAAATGCACGTGCTTCTCGCGCTTTTCACACCGCTGTAGCTGCTCTATTTTTAAGACGCCAATATCCAACAACTTGGATAGCAGGTCTTGAATTTAGGTTTAAGTAGAATAGACTCCTCAAAACACGACAATAGTTATTGCACGAAGTCTAGTCCTCGGCGCTACCGCGCCTCGGACTAAACATCGTGCACAACTATTGTCATGTTTCAGAGTCTATTCTATACTGAACTGCGCGTGCATTTACTTTCATGACCCAACACTGCCGCTGTTACAGGTCATTGGCTCCCTCCCTCTGCAAGCATTCTGCGGTCTGCTGTTTATTTTGTTGACAGTTACATAGACAGATTCTTTAATACAAATGCATAAAATCGGTGATTTACAATGTGATTAGGTTGTCTGACAAAACATCCACTTGCACAGTTTGAGATCGATTGGGTCATTGGACGAAGAGATATTTACAAAAAAAACGGGTCCACATGCATTTCATGCCAAACTATATTTGTCCTGCGAGAACCAAAGCACACATTCTTTAACGGAACTACGAATCGCATTGTTTGGTGAGTGCCAGAGGTGTTGCGCCAAGTTCTATATTGATTGAAGTAGTCTAGAATATTTCGTGAAGTATACACAAAGAACTTAATGAAGCACCCCTGTATTTTAGCATAGGTTTTCAACACGTACATATTTTTAACGTCTCGTGGTGACCACGATCGAAAAACATGAGTTCTGACCCTTATGATACTTTGACTCATAAAAAAACCCGACAAAATGTTTGGAATCCATGTTGATTTTATGATGATAATTGCCCATTTAAAAAAACAACATACAAAACCATGTCTCTACAAGTATAGCCCTGGAATGTTTCATGTTGAATTTATTGGTGAAAGTGAACATTTAAAATCCCTTTTTGCGTGTCTTACATGATTCAATGTAAATACCGAGTGTAACCTCCATGTGACTGTATGACAGCCAGCACTTTCTTTCTTATACCCTCTGTCAGCCTCCTGATCCTCTGAAGGGGCAGTCTACGCCATTCCTCATGTAAAACAGCTACCAACAGCGCCAGATTCTGTACAGGAGGATCCGTCTGTCGCACACGAAGACCAACCATGTCCCAGATATGCAATCGTGAGATATTCCAAGAGGTGCTTAACTAAGTCCTGTGTATACATATTGACTGAAGTAGTGTCCACGTTCTGTATATTGATTACATTAGTGGGTTCAAGGTCTTTAGTGTTTGATGTTTGGTTGGTAGTTGTTTTACGCCGCAATCAGCAATATTCCAACTATACGGCGGCGGTCTGTAAACAATCGAGTCTGGACCAGACAATCCAGTGATCAACAGCATCAGACAATCCAGTGATCAACAGCATAATCATCGACCTACGCAATTGGGATGTCAACCAAATCAGCGAGCCTGACCACCAGATCCCGTTATCGCCTCTTACGACAAGCATGGGTTACTGAAGATCAATTCTGACCCGGATCTTCGAATTATCGGGTCTTGCTGATCTTGAATCCATAACACAGATTGCACTGCAAGTAATAGCAGCAGAAAAACCAAGATATGCAGTTGAGAACCAAAAAATAGACCGAACAAGGCGTTACAGTCACAGAATTCGACTCCTCGGTTAATAAAACGTTTTACATATTAGAATATGTATTGTAAAGAAAGACTTAGCCTTCTTGTGAAGTGTCACTCTTGTGAAGTGTCCTCTACCAACACTGTTTCCGGAGTTCGAGTCGGCGGAAATGAAACACAACCTCAGCTGCATCATTAACGCGTCCGCTTGTCGCGCTAGTTCGATTACCCAAATGTGTACAGTGTGTGAAGCCCATTTCTCGTGTCCTCCGCCCTGATTTTGCTGGAATATTCCTAAAGGCGGCGTAAAACCATACTCACTCACTTACTCACTACATTTGTATCACGGTGGTCGGAAATATAACAGCCGTATTACGGTGGTAACAAATATTGCAGCTGTATCACGGTGGTAACAAATATTGCAGCTGTATCACGGTGGTCAAATGTAAAAAATATTGCAGCTGTATCACGGTGGTCAAAAATATTGCAGCCGTATCACGGTGGTCAAAAATATTACAGCCGTATCACGGTGGTCAAAAATATTGCAGCTGTATCACGGTGGTCAAAAATATTGCAGCTGTATCACGGTGGTCTGTAATCACACAAATCACAACTGTATCACGGTGATTTGCTGTCTGAAATATTACAGCTGAATCACGGTGGTCTGTAATCACACAAATCACAGCTTTATCGCGGTGGTCTGCTGTCTGAAATATTACAGCTGAATCACGGTGGTCTGTAATCACACAAATCACAGCTTTATCGCGGTGGTCTGCTGTCTGAAATACTACAGCTGAATCAAGGTGGTCTGTAGTCAGAAATACTACAGCTGGATCACGGTGGTCTGTAGTCAGAAATACTACAGCTGGATCACGGTGGTCTGTAGTCAGAAATACTACAGCTGGATCACGGTGGTCTGTAGTCAGAAATACTACAGCTGAATCACGGAGACGTGTAGTCAGCAATATTGAATGGTGGGCGAGCTGGCTAAGGCCCCAGGCTAGTGATCCAGCGAGCATGAGGTGCCGGGATCGAGCCCACCTGTGACCGAGTGTAAAGACCTTGGAGTCAACTTTGCGTGCAGACTCTTTCCATGTTGTCACACCCCCTAGTGTACAGTACACAACCCTGTGTACTTAAAAGAACCCACGAATCCGTCGGTATATGACCAGATGGTGGCCACATGAATACGTGCAAATACCTAGTTGCGGGTACAGCAAAGTGCAGTAAACTTGGACAAAGTACTGTGACTATGTGTCCCAGTCCACCCAGCTGCGAATGGGTACCTCGTCAGGATGAGAAAGACAAAATAACTCGGCGCGCCTATTGGGTGCAAGAGTTGCATACTCCCCAGGGAGTTCAGATTGATAATACGATGTGCCGTTCAGATTGACATCCAATGATCGAGGGACAAAATACCAGCGCCTTGAGCATGCATTAGTTTCCTGGATATGTGCTATATAAATATCCTATAATAATAAAATAAAATAATATTTGTGATATGTCACACCAACCTGTAGTCAGCAATATTTAACCGATACCATGCTGGTCTGTTATCTCTATTGTACAATAGTTAATGTTGATTAGTTAATGCGTCAGGGTATCATGTAAAAGGACTATATTAAGCAGTCTTTTGGTGACGTGGACTTTTATTTCTTGTTCTAACATCATGCAGGACCCTATACATATCTTGTGTAACTAGAGTATTCACTGACTGTTAAATTGGTGTAAATAATATTAAAATGTGAACTAGCACACGCAGCAAGTATTGTTTGAAGAATCTTTTGATGAACATAATACTCTGGCTGGTTCACCTGGGACATTTGTTTGGTATTTTTGGTTTTTTAAACTTGCTTTATTTCAACAGAAATCGGCTACTCTGACTCTTGTGCCAGAACGGTTGTTCGCCAGAAGCTATATGTCAGCAGTACCAAACTACCCATTCATATTTTGGAATTATTCTTGGTTATTCTCGTGTTAAAAGAAATTAAAACAATTATTGGATTTATCATATCGACCTCTAAAGCGCCAATGAGTGTTTGCGACATTACAACTCGCTTTACGTTACACCAGACCACTTTACGGCAATAACCTTTGTCACGTGTGAAAACTGGAGGAAATGGCGCTGGATGTGTTGCAGTGGGTTGTCATTGGCTTCCTGTTGATACTTCCTATTCTGTACGAGCTGAACAGCACGTTCAAGTATTATGCCAAGTTTTTCTTCTACTATGTCATTGTCAATCTTTTGGCTTTCATGGTTATTTTCCTGAGTCTTCCACGGGCGAAGGATGTCACGAATTATGGGTAAGCTAATGAATGTTTACATCTGAGTGAAGCAGACGATGACCGAGCAGTTTCGTTTTCGACATCACACAAGTTTTCCTTATTTTACTATCAAATTTGAAACTGAGTTCTAAAGTAATGCTCCAAGCACTCGTCATATCTGCATACATTTTGGTTGTCAACAGGGATGCTATTTGCGTACCTCAGAGTGTGATAGCAGTGTACTGCTGAAGCAGGGGTCGTTGTCGACACGGATACAACAGATATGTACCCCATGTGCGTTTCTGTATACAGAAATGTACCCGGTACCCTAAACGGCGGACGAGTCCAAAGTCCTCAACCCGAAACCGTGTGTAGTTGTTCCCGCTTGCCTGATCACGAGTGGTACTATGCTTCGCGAAATATTCTACTAGTCTTTGTACCATTTGCTTAGTTAACATGATTAATAATTGAGTCCGGGCAGGAATAGATATAGGTGAAACTGGGACATATGATATCGAGGATTCTGACCGTTTCCCCTTAATCAAAAGTTTCCTTGGTAATATATCTTGGTTATATTAGCCTCACTCAAACCTACAAACTGATATTTTAACACTTCTACCCAGGTGTTGTATCGTAGAGAACACTCACACACTACAACATAACACCCCTGCATTCAGGGGTTGAACATTTCATCAAAACTCTAGTGGACACAGGTCCAGTAAACTTTCAAAATCCATGTGAGCAAATATTAATTTCACTAGTCCACATTTAACAATTTGGTTTTTTTTGCAAATAGTCTTTATCAATTGGTAGCAATTGCATTTTTATTTCATCATCAAAATACATATATCAAAACATTTCAGTAGTTTGGCACTACTGTACCACGGTTAAGTTTAATGTGGATATTTACTTGACCAACTGGAGAATTTGACTGGACCCAGGTGTCAGGCAATGGTATTTTCAACACCGTCTGCATTGGATATTGCAGGTTACACATGAACTAGTATTTATCCTAACTGATCATGCTGAGCATAAATGTACCAACACATGACATGAAACAAAATCATGCATAATGTTCAACTGCTACTGATGTTAGTTTGTGATTATGCCTCTGATCAGACAGAGAATGATCTTTGACCTACTGACCCCCCATGAGCCAGGCTGATGACACATCTCTTATACCTCAAGTTCAAGTGTTGGCGTTAAAAACCCAAACACTATTCTTGACTATATTCTGTTTGTTTTCAATGCAAGCAGGCCAATGCTTACGTTGCCATGGAAATGGGTTTGCAATGGTCAGTCCTGGTGAAAAGTAAATGTGTCATTGGCAAAATTGATGTTCGCCTTCCCTTTGAAGGACAACCAGATAAACTTGACAGAATTCCATGGACATCGCTGCTGTTTTACATACATGTATGGATTCATTATGTAACATTGTAAACATGGCCAATCATACCTATACACAGTCGAGCACCGTTGTGTCAAACTCTGATAACTTTCGATATCTCGGTTGTCTCGATGTAACATCATCCCAGCAAAATCCTTCATGATTTATCATTATTCTTGCTCTTTTAACTCGACACGGATGTCACCGATATTTTGGGATATCTCGATATATCTCATGGTCCCAACAATCAAAATTACCCTTTTTAACTTTCGAGCATTTGCAAAGAAACCTCCAATAACTACCTACCTTTCGCGGGCAAGTATCCCTCTGAACTGAGGTTGTTTACACCGTTTACAACCGCGGTGCAGCATGAATCAAAGGGATCGCGGTAGTGTAAACTAATTAGAGGTATAGTGAGCTTGAAGGTGTCCTCTTTGTTAGATAATTCTGGTTAAACTAAGAAAGAAATTTAATAATTAGGAAGTACTCCGCAGTTACTTAACTAAACACTACTGATAACAGAATATAGTTTCAAATCCGAGAGCATACTGAGAATAATTGAGAGAATGTATGATGATATGCCCTGGTTGGATGTCGAAAGGGATTCTGGATTTACTCGATATTCTTTTCTTGGTCCCATGAATATTGAGGACAAAGGTGCTCGACTGTAAATAAGCTTAGTAAGTTGACTAAGTGTTGCCCACCCATTACACAATGTCTACATGTCCTTTTTATGCTATTGGAGGGACCAAATAATGCGTCATTTGTTATATGATATGCTTGTCAATAGGTTATGTCATCTGTGAATTCCTTTTGATCTGTAGTTACTGCTTACTTTTGGAAAAAGGATCTATTGGTGTAATCACATAATCTGCACTAGAACCACTACACTTACACACACTAGTTTGTAGGGTAGTCACGATACCATTCAATCTCCACGATCTTGCATCAGATATCCACGTTTTTAAGTCACGATCTGATCACATTATCGCGTATTACATAAATTTTCTCGCTTCATAGCATTACCTTTACGACTAGCGTCTGGCTGCTAAGCTTATGGGTCCATCAAAATAATCTAGCCAATCACACAAAGCTGTTAGTTTCCAACTCCTATTTTTTGGTATATAGCTAGCTACATCTATTCATCGGAGCGGGTCTCGTATAATTTTACTATCAAGACTTTGAACAGGAAGGAGATGGACTTATAGCATAAAATTTGAATCGATGAAAGTTTTAAAATAAATGGAAGACATTGCGCGAAGCATGTATCGGCGTATCGTATCGTCAGTAAAATCTATCGATGCATCGGGATACATTTATTAATGTATCGACACCCTACTAGTTTGCATATAGTTTAGAATTTAGCTTCCCAGGGTTTGACACCAAAGGCCGCGATCCAAAGCGACATTGTAGAGTAAATAAGCTGGTTCAGTCTAGTTAAAAATCTTGTCTGGCTAGTCCTGACTGGTTGTGTAGATATTTAACGAACACTGTTTCAAATCACTGTATTTGTTTATTTTTGCTTTTGAAAATCTTGCACACATCTATTATAATGAGTGTTACCAGAGACGCGTTATTAAAGCTTATTTAAGTGTAAAAAGACTATCATAGTTTTTCTTCAATTGATATGATGTTCTTCAGATAAATCAAAAGTTAAAAGTATACAATATTCATAATGGACAAAAAAAAACAACAATTATCACATGGTTTTGTGTTTAATATAGTTTGTTCTTCTAGTATGTACTGTAAGTATAAACCTGCTGATAACAAAATAACCTTTTGTCTGCCAGCAGTTTGGTATATGATTCACATTAGGTTAGGTCTAGTACTAATATAAAACCTGCTGATAACAAAAAATAACCTTTTGTCTTCCAACAGTTTGGGTATAGTTCACATTAGGTTAGGTCTAGTAAAATTTGAATAGTTCACATTAGATTAGGTTTAGTACTAATAGTAAAAAATATTAACATCAAACTCTGCTTTCCTGGCCAATAATCATGTATCACACACTCTTTCACTGTATATTGCTAGGTACATGCTTTCCATCCAGTGCTGGGTTCACACTTCTCTTTTTCCAGAGGTAGTGTCACTTCAACAAATGTTCATTGCAATGGTTTTCAACTGCACATCAAAACCACTTCCTCATATCATATATACTGATCTTTTTTTTGAGGAAATAAAAGTCCGTGCAGGTCAACTTACAAAGCCACAGCGTTAGTTATAACCCTAGACTAACATCTAGTCTCTGAAATGAACATATTTTACAGAATAAACAGTTCCTAAATTATAATCCTAAAATATAATGATAAAGAGGCCAGAGACTTTTTTCATTTTGAAACTGGCAACCTAGACTTGCCACATAGTGTTATAAATTTGTTTCAGGGTCTGTATGACAGAATAGTTATAACCATGTTAGCTCTATACAGTTTGGAAATGTTTTATACTAATTTTTGATTATTACAGACATTTGCACTATACTGAGCTGGCCAAGACAGATTCCTGTGTAGGCCAGGTAATGAGGTATCATTATCATTCAGTAACATGTTACCATGGTTACTGCACCATGCTGAACTAATTGTCCATTATGTCACCATATGGCTGCCATTTTGACATGTGGCGTGTTTGTGGACAATCAGATGTGCCACTTAATCATGATCATGTTGGTTTCGTGACAGTTTCATATTCTAACATGTGTCTATCATTGTCTATATCAAGCTGTTTCACATTGAGCATTTTTTAGATTATCAAAGTACCTTCACAGGTCACATTTTATAGCTTAACAATCTTCATGATCATTCGTTGGTTACCATGGTGTCATGTATAGTTTGAGTTTGAGTATATATACTGAACATCATTGAAAGCACCAGTCTAAAATTGTCCATATTTTCATCAAGATGGATTTCAGCATGACAATGATCAATGAATATAACTAACATGAAGTGAGAGGGGCATGTCCAGTTGAAAAATGCTTTAGAAACAAATTCCTGTCCACAGTATGACTCTTAATTCCAAAATGCATCAACATGCAGCCATACACAGGGTTAAAATATCCCATCGCCTGGCGTCAGGGACAAGTCAGTTTTCATTTAGGGCAATCAAATAATGGTATCTTACTTGTCCGTGGGCTACTAGATAATTTCCACTTATGGTTTCAAACTGCAAATAAACTTGGATTTAATTTCATATCTGCTCAAAATGTAGCTATTAAATTTACGCTGAAATGATAATGAAGTAGAGTTATCTTTCTTTGCTATTTATCACTTTTCAATAAATAGTCCAGTAAACATTAACATCAAATGCCATGTTGAGGAACTTGATTTATTCTTTCATAATTACATCATCATGATTATTTTCATAAAATCAGGGCAGAAGTGGAAAATTAGTCAGTACAAGTTACTTTTAAAGTCACTTGCCCTATGGCTGAAGTGACTTTTAAGAAAAATGTTGAACCCCTGCGCCATGAAAAAGCGAATATCATTCTGAAATCATATTGACTGTGACGTTAAAAGCAGGTGTATGAGAACCGATTGTCATTGCTTCACTAGCGATGGTGAAAGCGAGGACAGAGATGCGAAGGTTAACACCTCACTTAAGAGAAGCGTGCACTAGGCATGATTCAGGTTGGCACCAGCAGCAGGGATATTGCTTTCGACAACTTGGACTTGGCCACTCCACCATCGTTAGGCTTCTTAGACGACATCAGTAGACAGGCAGCACCTGTGACCTTCAATGACCTTGGCAACAACGTGTTACAATGCTCCATCAGGATCGCCATATTGACCTTGTCCGTATCAGTGATTGAACACTGCTGACTGCAAGGACTGCTGCACTAGTTCAAGGTTGGCGTGGTGGGTCATCAGCGCTGACTCCATCGCGGCGCCCGTCTACACGCTACGGGGGCTCCATGTTTTCGGCGTCCTTCACGTTGGACCAGTTCTGACTGACAGACACCGAATGGCGTATACAATGGGCTAGCAGGCATTTTCAATAAAGGTTACAACAATGGCATGGTGTGTTAGTCACTGATGAAATCGCGTCTTCATCTACGTAATGCTGGATGGGCCGATTACGTGTTTGGCGTAGATGTGGTGAGCGTTATGCTGATGAGTGTGTGGTTCAGACCAGACCTTTGGGTGGTGGGAGTGTCATGGTCTGGGGTGGAATAAAATTACAATCACAGGACTGCCTTCATGTCTGTCAAGGAAAGTTAATGCCCTTTATTACCGTGAGCAGATTCTTGAGAATCACATCGTGTATCTGTCTTCAATCACCACCAAGATGTCCATACTTTTCAACAGGACTTAGCGCAACGCGGGCACACACAACAAGACTTTCCATGCAGTATTTGGCCCAGCAACACATCCAGGTTATTCATTGGCCAGCACAGTCGCCAGATGTATCCCTAAAATGGAACACTTGTGGGGACGAAGTGGTCAGCGTCTTTTCGCGTGACAACAGATGTGAAACATCCGGGAACTTGAGGCTGCACTACTGCAGAAGTGGAATGCCATCCTCAAGAACTCTATTTGGGCCGCTTATTGACTCAATGAGGAGGCGTTGAACTGCATAATGTCAATGCAAATGGCGGTCACACCCGATATTGACTTTTCGATTTGACCCTCAGTGTGTTTGATCCTTTCTGACTGTGGAACATTTAAGTGAATGAGTGTCTTTTCTGTGTTGTTGTTTTTGTCAGTCAATCCATCCACTCAATAAATATCAATTCATTACACATGCTTTTAATAATCTGAACTTTATAAATAAGTAGCGTTTTCAATGATGTTCAGTATATTTCATGTTTTAAGCCAAGAAATGATTAGTCACATGATCTTTTACTCAAACTTTCTAAGTCTAGCGGGCTGGTGGGATAGCCTAGTGGTTAAAAGCGTTTGCTCGTCATGCGAAGACACTGGTTCAATTTCCCACATGGATACATTGTGTGAAAGCCCATTTCTGGTGTCCTCCACTGTGAGTGTGATATTGCTGAAATATTGCTAAAACTGCTTAAAACTCAACTCATGCACTCACTGTTTTTAACATTTTCAATAGCGGCGGCAATGATCATGATGATGCTTACCTTGTTTTATTTTACTTTTTAAATTTTCATAACAAATAAATAAAGTCAGGATGTGCTGTTCCAAACATTTGGAGAATTCAGAAACCTCCCTGTTGATCATGATGATATGCTGATTAGAAAGTTCTTATTGATCTCCATTGAATTGCTTTCATGGGATTTCGCAGCGGTTCCAAACCATGTGCCTATGGTGGGCAGATTTGGAAATAGAATCATGATATCAGTCAATATTTAAAAATTGTTTTAGAGTGCTCATCATGTTTAATGTCATAAATCTATGGTGTTTTGGGAATTGTTTAGTTCAAATTGGGAATTTCTTGTATCATTTGTTACAGACTTGGTGCTGAATATCGAGCCCTTATCAGGTCCAGATAATCCCTTGATTTCCCTGTTGGCATGAAAGGTGGTTGATCAGACCTAGCAGGAGGGATTTGGAGTAAAAGGTCTGATGATACTAATGAAATTGCCTCTTATGGATTAAGGGTGGTGGTATGGCCTAGTGGTTAACATGGTTGAAAAAAGTGTTAAAAGCTCGTCACACCAAAGAGCCTGGGTTCGATTCCCAACATGGGTTCATTGATTGAAGCCCATTTTTGGTGTATCCTGTCATGATATTGCTGGAATATTGCTAAAAGGTAAAAGTGGAGTAAAACCCAAATTACTCAATCTTATGGATTAATACCTGAATAGATTTTATGTTTAATTATTTTCAGACACATGACATGTGTTTTTTTAGGTAGATCGTCAGCTTCGGCCATCAAGAGCATCAGGAAGTTGTTTGGAATTGAGATCCGAAATCCGTGGGAAGAAAATCTTGAGTCAAATAAACCATACATCCTGGTGTCCAACCATCAGAGCTCTCTCGACTTCTTTGGTGAGTTGTGTTACTTTCACATATCTCCTTGTAATACCCGTCTGCGACCGAAGATCCGGGTGAATTGGCCTTTAGCATGCTCATGCTCATGCTGGCGATCACTGGATTGTCTGGTCCAGACTTCGATTATATTCAGGCGGGCGCCATATGGCTGGAATATTGCTGGTAGCGGCGTAAAACTCACTCACTCACTCACTAATACCCCATACAACTACCTGTATGTCCTTGTATTACCTGTGCATAACACCCTTTATGTGCTTGTATTACCTGTTGTTACTCCTGGAGTGTCCTACGGTTTTAGTACTATTAGTATAACCCTATATATAACTCATTGTGGGATCTTGTATTATAATACATACTATTAACTGTATGTGTCCTTGTATCCCCATGCATTACTCCCTGTGTATGTCCTTGTATCCCCATGCATTATATCCCTGTCCTGTGGGAGTGGTGGGAGTAGTCTAGTGGTTAAAGCGTTAACGCATGGTTGAATCCCCACATGGCTACAATGAGTGAAGCCCATTTCTGGTGTCCCCCCATTTTGATATTGCTGGAATATTGCTAAAAGCGATTGTAAAACCAGAATGTCCAGTCCAGTCAGTCAGTAATTACTCCCTGTATGTCCTTGTATCCCTGTATGTCCTTGTACTCCCTGTATGTCCTTGTATGTCCCTCCATGCATTACTCCCTGTATGTCCTTGTATCTCCATGCATTACTCCCTGTATGTCCTTGTATCCCAAATGCATTACTCCCCTGTATGTCCTTGTGTTCCCTTGCATTACTCCCTGTGTGTCCTTGTATCCCATGCATTACTCCTGTGTGTCCTTGTATCTCCATGCATTACTCCTATATGTCCTTGTATCCCAATGCATTACTCCCTGTATGTCCTTGTGTTCCCATGCATTACTCCCCCTGTATGTCCTTGTATCCCCATGCATTACTCCCTGTATGTCCTTTTGTATCCATGCATTACCCTGTATGTCCTTGTATCTCCATGCATTACTCCCCTGTGTGTCCTTGTATCCATTACTCCCTGTATGTCCTGTATCTCCATGCATTTCCCTGTATGTCCTTGTATCTCCCATGCATTACTCCCTGTATGTCCTTATGTGTCTCCTTGCATTACTCCTCACCCTGTATGTCCTTGTATCCCCATGCATTACTCCCTGTATGTCATTGTGTCCATATGCATTACTCCCTGTATGTCCTTGTATCTCCATGCATTACTCCCTGTGTGTCCTTGTATCTCCATGCATTACTCCCTGTATGTCCTTGTATCTCCATGCATTACTCCCTGTATGTCATTGTATCTCCATGCATTACTCCCTGTATGTCCTTGTATCTCCATGCATTACTCCCTGTATGTCCTTGTATCTCCATGCATCCCCCATGTCATTTACTCCCCATGCATTACTCCCTGTATGTCCTTGTATCTCCATGCATTTACCCCTGTCCTGTCATTGTATCTCCATGCATTACTCCCTGTGTGTCCTTGTATCTCCATGCCTGTATGTCCTCCCTGCATTATGTCCTCATTGTATCCCCATGCATTACTCCCTGTATGTCCTTGTATCTCCATGCATTACTCCCTGTATGTCCTTGTATTCCCTTACATTACTCCTGTGTCCTTGTATCTCCATGCATTACTCCCCTGTGTGTCATTGTATCAGTGCCCATGCATGCATTACTCCTGTATGTCCACTTGTGTGTATCTCCATGCATTACCTTGTGTGTCCTTTTGTCTCCATGCATTTGTATGTCCTTGTATCTCCATTGCACATTCCTGTATGTCCTTGTATCCATGCATTACTCCCTGTATGTCCTTCCATGCATTACTCCTTGTGTCTCCATTGTGTGTCCTTGTGCATTACTCCCTGTGTGTCCTAGTTCCTCCATGTCATTGTGTGTGTGTCCATTGTATCTCCATGCATTACTTCCTGTGTGTGTCCTGTGTCCCCATGCATTACTCCCCTTATGTCCTTGTATCCTCCATGCATTACTCCCTGTATATGTCCTTGTATCTCCATGCATTGTGTCTCCACTGTATGTCCTTGTGTCTCCATGCATTACTCCCTGTGTGTCTTTTGTGTCCATGCATTACTCTGTATGTCCTTGTGCATTACTTCCCCTGTGTCCTCCATGCATTCCTCCTTGTATCTCCCATGCATTACTCCCTGTATGTCCTTGTATCCATGCATTTCTCCCCTGTATGTCCTTGCATTACTCCCATGCCTGTGTATCCTTGTCTCCATTGTCCTCCTGTATGTCCTTGTATCTCCATGCATTACTCTCCTGTATGTCCTTGTATCTCCATGCATTACTCCCTGTATGTCCATTGTATGCCCTCCATGCATTACTCCCCTGTCCATCTCCTGTGTTGTGTCTCCATGCATTACTCCCTCCATGTCCTTGTATCTCCATTCATTATGTCCATGTGTCTCCATGATCATATTCATTATCCCTGTATGTCCTTGTATCTCCATGCATTACTCCCTGTGTCATTGTATCCTCCATGCATGTGTGTCCATGTATGTCCTTGTATCTCCATTCATTACTCCCTGTATGTCCTTGTATCCCCATACCATTACTCCTGTATGTCCTTGTATCTCCATGCATTACTCCCTGTATGTCCTGTGTATCTCCATGCATTACTCCCTGTGTATGTCCTTGTCTCCATGCATTACTCCCTGTATGTCCTTGTATTCCATGCATTACTCCCTGTGTGTCCATTGTATCCATGCATTACTCCCTGTATGTCCCTAGTATTCCATGCATTCTCATTGTATGTCCTTGTATCTCCATGCATTCCTGTCCTTGTGTACTCCATGTGTCCTTGTATCTCCATGCATTACTCCCTGTGTGTCCATGCATTATCTCCATGCATTACTCCCTGTATGTCCTTGTGTTCTCTGCATGTGTGTATGTCCTTGTATCCATGCATTACTCCCCATGTATGTCCCCATGCATTACATTTGTGTGTCCTTGTGTCCATGCATTACTCCCCTGTGTGTCCTTGTCCATGCATTGCTATGTCCTGTGTGTCTCCATGTGTCATTTCTCCCTGTATGTCCTTGTATCCATTACTCCATGCATTACTTCCCTGTATGTATCTCCTTGTGTCTCCATGCATTACTCCCTGTGTGTCCTTGTGTCCCATGCATTGTCTCCATGTATGTCCTTGTGTCTCCATGCATTACTCCCTGTATGTCCTTGTGTCTCCATGCATTACTCCTGTATGTCCTTGTCTCCATGCATTACTCCCTGCATGTGTCCTCCATGCATCTCCTGTGTGTCCTTTTGTCCTATTATATTCCCCATGTGTGTGTGTCCTTGTGACATTCCTGTGTGTCATTGTAATGCATGTCCTTGTCTCCATGCCTTGTGTGTGTGTGTCATGCATTACTCCCTGTATGTCCTTGTATCTCCATGTCTCCCATGTCCATCTCCATGTGTGTATGTCCTTGTCCATGCATTACTCCCTGTATGTCCTTGTATCTCATGCACTCCCCTGTTGTCCTTGTATCTCCATGCATGTACTCCTTGTGTCCATGTGTGTATGTCCTGTATTACTCCCTGTGTGTGTCCTTGTGTCTCTGAATTACCCTGTCCAGTGTGTCCATGTACTCCCTGTCCTTGTGTCCTTGTGTCCTTGTCCATATCTCCATGTCATTGTGTCCATGCCTCCCTGTATGTCCTTGTATGTCCATGCATTTGTGTCCTGTCCCTGTATGTCCTTGTCATGTGTATCTCCATGCATTACTCCTGTGTGTCCTTGTATCCCCATGCATTACTCCCTGTGTATGTCCTTGTATCCCCATGCATTACTCCCCTGTATGTCCTTGTGTTCTCTTGCATTACCCTGTGTATGTGCTTGTATCTCCATGCATTACTCCCTTCATGTCCTTGTGTTATCTTGCATTACTCCCTGTATGTCCTTGTATCTCCATGCATTACTCCCTGTGTGTCCTTGTATCCCCATGCATTACTCCCTGTATGTCCTTGTATCTCCATGCATTACTCCCTGTGTGTCATTGTATCCCCATGCATTACTCCCTGTATGTCCTTGTATCCCCATGCATTACTCCCTATATGTCCTTGTATCTCCATGCATTACTCCCTGTATGTCGTTGTATTCCTGCGTATTACTTCCTGTATGTCCTTGTATTCTCATATATAACAGTTAACACCCAGTATGTCTTTGTATTACAGGGATTTTCAGGACGTGAATTCCTGCGCCCTTTACTCATAAAAATTGACAGTGGACACAATGAAATTTATTAGAGCATCCACAGGGACACAGGAAAAGTCCAAATACTTTTTGTAAAAATCCCAATCAAGTAACAATAAGTTATCACTGAGGTTGCTACTAGCTGGGTTATGGTATCATTTGCAATTTAATTACTGTAACAATTAATGAGATGATCATGATTCACAATACAATAACAGTATTAATAATAATATTTAAGTGTCTGGGACCCCCATTGTGTTGTCCACGACCCCTGAAAATTAAGAGAATGAGTCCCAGGGACACTCAAATACAGAACTCAAGGTAAATCCCTGGTATTACCTATGTATAACTCTTTGTATTCACTATGTGCACACGTCGTCATATGAGCGAAATATTCTCAAGCACGACGTAAAAACCCAATTTCACCTCACCTCACTATGTGCACAGTGTATATAACTGTCGGTTTGTCTACTTCTATTCCCCCAGTCACATGGTTACAGAATGAATTGAGGAAATATGAACTACACAATGCCTTTCAGGAAGGCAACATGAGGAAGTATGGGTTGGATAGAGGAACTATTTAGACGTACAGTAGAACATGGTTATAGCGAACACGGATATAGCGTACAAACGGATATAGCGAACAAATTAAAAGTCCAATCAACAGTCCTTTATAATATCATTAAAATTATACGTGAATAACGAACTCTCGAGTAGCGAATTAACGGCTATAGCGAACTGATTTACTACCCCCAAGACCCAATTAAGGACGTGATTAGCGAACTCACTCAGTGTCAGCTCAGCCACTTAGCGGTACGGTTTATCTGGACATTATAAATGTAAGCTTGCATTTTCATTAAAAAATAAATTTATTTTAGTTGTAGTTGTATTATTTCAATTTTATTATAAAAATAAACTTCATATTTATCAACATGATATAGGTAATGTCTGTGAATGTCTTCATCTCTACAATCCAAGATGGCGGTCAAATGTGAATAACGAACAACGGATATAGCGAACTAAATTTCTTGGTCCCTTGGAGTTCGTTATATCCGTGTTCTACTGTACATGTATATCACATCTGTATGTTGACCATGTTGCAGGTATGATGGAGATATGGCCATTACGTTGCACCAGCTTGGCCAAGAAGGAGCTGATGTACACTGGGCCATTTGGCCTGGCAGCATGGCTGTGTGGGACAGTGTTCATCGACCGTTTGAACCATGACCGGGCCGTCAGCACGATAAAGGAAACTGCCGACTTCATCAACAAGAACAATGTAAATGTGATAGCTAATGGGTCCACATTGCAGGAACTGCTGCATGAAATTACATTTGATGAATACAAGTGACACTCTCATAATATTGACTCTCATAGATTCATTTAATGTAGTCTTTGGTGATGTATACTGTCTGAGGACTTTGGACACATCGGGTCTGGTCAATTCGACTCATATAGCCTTTGGTTGGTTGGTTTGTTGTTTAACGCTGCACTCAGCAATATTCCAGCTATATGGCGGCGGTCTGTAAATAATCGAGTCTGGACCAGACAATCCAGTGATCAGCAGCACGAGCATCATTATACACAAATGGGATACAATGACATGTCAAACAAGTCAGCGAGCCTGACCACCCAATCTCGTTAGTCCATGCACCCCACCCATCCCATGCTTGTAATACTGACTGACTGAGTTTAGTTTTACGCCGCTTTTAGCAATATTTCAGCAACATCATGGCGGGGGGACACCTGAAATGGGCTTCACACATTGTACCCATGTGGGGATTCGAACCCGGGTCTTCGGCGTGGCGAGCCAACACTTTAACCACTAGGCTACCCCACCGCCCCCCAAGCCTGTAATAACATGCATGGGGTGCTGAAGACCTATCCTATTTACAGACCAGTGCATATAGTCAGAATATTGCTGAGTGTGGCATTAAAAACAAACAAGATATTTTTTTACCTCTTTGCTGACACGAGCATGATGAGATTATCAGTGAACCAACACTAACTGAAGGTGTATTTTGCTTCATACAGGTGAAAGTGTTCATTTTCCCTGAGGGCACCCGTAACCATTCAGGCTCCATTTTACCCTTCAAGAAGGGTGCCTTCTACCTGGCTGTGCAGGCCCAGGTGAGATTGTTTGTCTCCTCTGTGGGCACACAACTTCTACCAAATACTCCTACACATCTTTTAAACATGCATTGTGTTGGACATTGTGCTTTTGTTGTGTGATATGCTTATTTTTGTACGTTGGGCTTGTGTTGTTCAATATGTTGAGGTTATGCAATGTGCTTGTGTTGTATACACTTTGTATGAAGTGTATTGTTGTTGTCAACAGGGGTGGAAATTGCCCGACGTCCCAGTCCTGTGGGTTTTTTTCTGTAGGGCAAGCAAATTTGTAAATCATGCTGTACCGGTGTCCAGTTGACTTTCCAATGCTGATTATGTTGTTTATTTAAAGAATCATCAAGAAATTTGGCCGGTATAGTGGAAAAATGATCAGGGCAAGTGGTTTTATATGTGCCACTGTACTGGGGTACACTAGAAATTTTAAAGTTATTTCCACCCCTGCTTGTGTGCTACACTTTTTATCCCCCGTCACGCGTTTAGCGCGATGCGGGGGATATAGTATTAGGCTTCGTCCGTATTAGGCTCCTCCTCCGTCTCGTGCACGTACGAATTGGAATATCTTAACAACCGTTCGCTAGATCCTTTTCATAATTGGTACCTAGTTTCATCACATTATAAGAAAGGTCCAACTCAGGTTTGGTGACCTTGACCTTCATTTCAAGGTCACAAGGGGACTTTAACATTTTACCTGCATGTTAAGCTATATCAATAACCGTTCACTGGATTTTCTTCATATTCAATACCAAGCTTTATCTAGGGAAGGCGCAGGGCCCGGTCGATTTTGGTGACCTTCACTTAATTTTCAAGGTCATGGCAACACTTTGAAGATTTCAGCATGTAAACCTGCATGTTAAGCTATCTCAAGAACCGTTCACTGGATTTTCTTCATATGTAACACCAAGTTTTATCTAGGGAAGGCAAGGGGGGCATGTTTTTGTTGACATTTAACTTCATCTTAAACTTTCATTACTTTATAAGTTTGATTTGATAATTTGCAGCGGGGGATTATGTCACCTTAGTGACAATGCTTGTTGTTGTATATTATGCTTGTGGTCGATATGTTGCTGTTTTACAATGTGCTTGTGTTGTCTTCTGTTGTACACTTTGTGTTGTCTGGGCCTGTGTATTGGCAAATATGTTGTATTGCGATTCTGGTAGCCGTATTCTGATACTTATTGCAATATATTGGGAGCGTCAGCGTTTGACAGTGAGTGACTGATTGTACATGCAGAGCCTATTTTCTATGTACTAAAGCCCTAGAAATATATGTTATGGTTGTAATAACAGAAATCTCGAATTTAGATGTGATTTAAATTTTTGTATTTAAAGTATGCTGTTTTGTCACTTAATTACATTGGAAAAAAACGTGAATGAAAGTGTGTTGATTTATTAAACCATAGAGATAATGACAAAACTTTATGTCTTTGTATCACCTAATATGTTGGTTCTGAGAAAAAACATTGCAACACGTATCGTTTTAAAAGTGTATTGTGATGTACCGGTATACCGTGCAGCCCTTGTGTTGTGTTGTCTGCTCTATTTGTGGTTGTTGTAGTCTCTGATTGTATCTCCTTGCACTGCAGGTTCCAGTTGTACCAGTTGTCTTCTCCTCCTACTCGGACTTCTACAGCAAACGTGACAAGAGATTTGAAACGGGTAGGTATCAACAGTCTGCTAAATGTGACAAGAGATTTGATCCCTTTAGGTTTGATGATTGCTATAAACTCCTTCATACCCGAAAGGACTATTGGGTTACATTAAAATATTTCAATACTTTGAATGTCAATGTCGCTCGGTTTGAACTAGGCATGACATAAGGCTTTTCTGCACAAGACTTCTTGATTACCTGAGTAATTTTGTGATCCTTAAGTTGAGTTCTTGATTGCATCAGCTCACGAGTGAGGGGGCAGTGGGGTAGCCTAGTGGTTAAAGCGTTGGCTTGTCACGCCGAAGACCCAGGTTCGAATCCCCACACAGGCACAATGTGTGAAGCCCATTTCTGGTGTCCCCCGCCATGATGTTGCTGAAATGTTGCTAAAAGCGGCGTAAAACCAAACTCAGTCAGTCAGTCAGTCATGAGTGAGCTCCGTGTAAGGTCAAGGCACTAGAAGCCACACTTTGAAACCAAAACATTGTTCCATCTTAGTGAAAATAACCTATTTATGACAATGCCTGTCCAGGTTGTGTCAGACACACCAAGGCCACACAGAAGGTCACATTACGCTGTTCTTTATTCTTGTCAGGCAGATCACCGTGAAGGTCCGGGTTGATATTGGTCTTCCATGCTTGTCGTAAGGGGCGACTAACAGGATCGGGTGGTCAGGCTCGCTGACTTGATTGACACATGTTGTCATGTCCCAATTGCGCAGATCGATGCTCACGCTGTTGATCACTGGATTGTCTGGTCCAGACTCGATTATTTACAGACTGCCACCATATATCTGTAATATTGCTGAGTGCAGCGCAAAACTAAACACACTCACTCACTGTAGTTTTTAATCAGGAAAAAACACCCGTCATTGTCATTGTGTGTCACAGGTAAATTCATCATCACATGCCTCCCCCCCCGGTGAATACAGTGGGCAGGAAGGACGCGGATGTTGCGGTGCTCACCGAGGATGTCAGGCAACAGATGCTGGACGCCTTCAATCAAACATCGTTAGAGTCCCGTCAACCCAGAGTAACCACCACAGTCAAGTAGCAGCTGCAGCAGTCGATCTTCAAGTCTCAGATGGATAATTGGTTTTAGAATTCATTTTACAAAACTGAAACTTTCTTGATTGGAAGAATTAGAACAATTTGTGTGCTTTCAACTTGTCATTGAGCATGTTTGTGCTCTCTTTTATGCTTCAGCTTTTTCTCTGCTGGATATGTATATGATGGTTTTATGACTGGCTCCACTCTTGGAGCAAATCCATATTTACACATGATTGAATGGTGTTATTTGTGTCGTTGATCTGACGTGAAATTGTTTTCTTCATTAGATTATTAATATACTAGTCACACTTTGCTAAGGATCAAATCATGGATTCAACAGAAAACAATGATGTGGGGTCAAATTGGATTTAAATATCTAAGCATGGATCCTAGGTTTCAGTGTGTCATTTCATCTTGTGGATCCCATACCTGCTATTGACAGGTGTTGTGTACTTGTCAATGACTCGTTCCATGATTTGCGAAATGGTTGATTTATGCCATGAAAACCAGTTTTATGGTTACTCATGTATCAAGTGCATAAGGTTAGCTTAAAGTGACTGTTTGCCTAAAGAGGGGTTACCATGTTATTATTTATCCAGTTTTAAATGGATTCAATTTCAAATTATGAATCTACGTTTAAGTAAAGTTGTGAATTTTTGTGATCCTTAGCAAAGTGTGAGTAGTATATGTTGAATGAGAGGGTCGCAATCATCACCAGCAAACTGGATTTGTTGAAAGAGAGGCTGTTAAATATATTGAACAAAGCATGTTCTGGAATATGAATGCTTTTGTTGATATTTTCATGAAATATCATACTAAGTCTTCACTACAAACTCCCCTAAAAATCGTGATCCAGGATTTATTTGTGCAGCATATATATCATATCACCGAAATCAAACAGTGTAAGGCAGGTTTAAACCCGGCCTTTAACATAGGGTCCATTCAAGACGGCCTCTGAGGTCAACCCCAAGAAAATGTGGTCACAGTATGCTTTGACACTTGGACCATCCCTAGAAAATATGGTGCACATTGTGCTTTGACACTTGGACCATCCAAGATGGTGCACATTGTGCTTTGACACTTGGACCATCCCTAGAAAATATGGTGCACATTGTGCTTTGACACTTGGACCATCCAAGATGGTGCACATTGTGCTTTGACACTTGGACCATCCCTAGAAAAGATGGTGCACATTGTGCTTTGACACTTGGACCATCCCAAGAAAATATGGTGCACATTGTGCTTTGACACTTGGACCATCCCTAGAAAAGATGGTGCACATTGTGCTTTGACACTTGGACCATCCCTAGAAAAGATGGTGCACATTGTGCTTTGACACTTGGACCATCCCAAGAAAATATGGTGCACATTGTGCTTTGACACTTGGACCATCCAAGATGGTGCACATTGTGCTTTGGCACTTGGACCATCCCTAGAAAATATGGTGCACATTGTGCTTTGACACTTGGACCATCCAAGATGGTGCACATTGTGCTTTGACACTTGGACCATCCCTAGAAAAGATGGTGCACATTGTGCTTTGACACTTGGACCATCCCAAGAAAATATGGTGCACATTGTGCTTTGACACTTGGACCATCCAAGATGGTGCACATTGTGCTTTGACACTTGGACCATCCAAGATGGTGCACATTGTGCTTTGGCACTTGGACCATCCCTAGAAAAGATGGTGCACATTGTGCTTTGACACTTGGACCATCCAAGATGGTGCACATTGTGCTTTGAAACTTGGACCATCCCTAGAAAATATGGTGCACATTGTGCTTTGACACTTGGACCATCCAAGATGGTGCACATTGTGCTTTGACACTTGGACCATCCAAGATGGTGCACATTGTGCTTTGACACTTGGACCATCCCTAGAAAAGATGGTGCACATTGTGCTTTGACACTTGGACCATCCCTAGAAAATATGGTGCACATTGTGCTTTGGCACTTGGACCATCCCAAGAAAATATGGTGCACATTGTGCTTTGACACTTGGACCATCCCAAGAAAATATGGTGCACATTGTGCTTTGACACTTGGACCATCCCAAGAAAAGATGGTGCACATTGTGCTTTGACACTTGGACCATCCCAAGAAAAGATGGTGCACATTGTGCTTTGGCACTTGGACCATCCCAAGAAAATATGGTGCACATTGTGCTTTGACACTTGGACCATCCCAAGAAAATATGGTGCACATTGTGCTTTGGCACTTGGACCATCCCAAGAAAATAGTGCACAGTGTTTTTTGCCATTTGGACCATCTCTTGAAAATGTGGTGTACAATGTGCTATAACACAGGGCCCATCCCAGGAAACTGGCACACCATGTGCTTTGACACTTGGACCATCCCAAGAAAATATATTGCACAATGTGCTTTGACACTTGGCCCATCCCAAGTAAATATGGTGCACAATGTGCTTTGACTCATGGTCCACCCAAAGAATTCACTTTACCTTTACACAGTTCTAGAGAAACTGTTTGTATTTATCATATTACCTTGAAGACTGTTTTTCATGTTTTGCTGCCTCCAATGATATGTTTAATGAGCAGACAGTGTTTCTCCACAGGCTCTCATCACAACAGACACCTTTCTTGGTGCATTCCAGACACACAGTGTATGTAGCTGTAGATTGAACACATATCTTAAAGCAATATTTTCTCTGTTAATCTTTGACCCTTATAGGATGTTATCAGACATTGTTTGAGCTGAAACTCTGGACTACTCAGGGTACTGAAGTAGTGGTCTCAGGGTACATAACGACGCCACTTTATACACTCTATTATTAAGACATTCTCTTAGTGAC